TCGGAGACGCAAGAGCCTTGTGACGGGGCGGGGCTTGTGACGGAGCGGAGCCAGGCCCCCGTGTGGGCGGGGCTAGGGCTGAGGACCCGTGATGGGGCGGGGCCGGGGCTAGTGATGGGCGGGGCTTGTGTCAGCGGGGTCTGATGGGGCGGGATTTATGGCTAGACGGCCCCGCCCCCTGTGGGCGGGGCTAGGGCTGCGGGGGTCGTCCCGCGCAGACCCCACGCATACTACCTGCCCAGGAGAGAGGTGAGACCGGGCCTGGCAAGTTTGGTTCAACGTTCCAAAGATGCATGTCAGTCCCTTTCTGGAACTGAAGCACGTTCACTGTACCTGTTCATTTAAGTGTCTCAAATCCAGATGACTAATGGTTTAATTGCCTCACTCTCTCCACCAGTTAAGAAAACCGTGTAAGTGTCAAGCACGGTGCTAGACCGTCTATCCTCGCCGTCTTCCTCACGTCTGCACAACAAGACTGTGCTTCTGGAAGGCTCGGTCCTGTGCCAATGGTTCAATGCTGGACATCTAGCTCTGGTGGGGGGAGGCCCTGGTCTGTAGCCCTTGTACGTGTGCACAGTGTACATACTCCCACCTGGCTGAATTCATGTAACAACAACCAGTTCACAGAAAGTCCTGAAAATGGGACGTTCTGGTCCTATAGGAGCTGGCTCCAGCCCACCATTGCCTGTGGCAGGTCCTCTACAACAGGGGCTCAAGTCACACGTGGTATTCAGTGTGTTAGAAGGGGATACACTGGATGAGAAGAAAAAAGTGGAGCAGGCAGGGATGGATTCAGGCTTTGTAGAACCAAAAGCTTAAACACTTTGGGGGGCCTCTTTAAGAACAATTTAAAACGACAAAGCTTGGCACAGACTTTGGGAGGGGCCACACAGGTTAGAGGCCCTTCAGGAGTTTTAAGTTCATGTTAATTCTGCCATTAAGAGCCAAATAGGGGGAACACAGTTTTTGCGGGATGTCTGTGAAGGGTGGTTAGGGCGGGCCTCACCGAGCAGAGAGTGGAACAGGCAGCCGGAGGGCTGGCCAGGCGGCTCTCTGGGGACAGCGGTGCAGATGGAGCGAGGGGCGGAGCCAGGGCTGAGGTGGGCGTGGCCTTCCGTGCTAGGGGAAGAGCCCTCGGCTGGGAGGCTGGAGCCCACTGGGCCGAGGGAGTGCAGGAGGGATGAGGCCGAGGCGACTGGGGCCAGGCCAGACAGAGCTGCGCAGACCCTCCAAAGGACTTTGGCTTTTACTCTGAGCGACATGGGGGCCGGGGGTGTGCTCAGCCCGTGAAGGGAGGTGGGGACATGGAGACCAGGGACGGGGGTGGGGGGTGGGGGGATGGGGGCAAGGGCGGTGGCAGGGAGTGGATTCAGAGATGTGGCCTGGGTGTGAGGCCTGGTGCTGCGCGGCCGTCTGCATTCCGTTTCCCTGCACAGTGAGGAAAACGGAAGCGACATGTGTGGACACTCAGCTCAGCGCTCCTGGTGGGGTTAGCCACAATGACGGTGATGGTGATGATGGGGCAACTGGGCAGGTCCAGGAGGTGAAGATGGGGAGGGAGGCTTGGCTGGAGCCCAGCTCTTGTAGGTCAAGGGCTGGGAGCGCTCACGTTTAGCCCTCAGGAGGTGTGAGGGCCCGTAGAGCTGCCCATGCTGCGGGAGTGACACAGAGGCCTGGGCTCCCTGAGTCTAGGGTCCCTGAGTCGGGGCAGTAACTTAGAGTCCCCTTGGGTGGATTTAGTGAGGGGATATAACTGGTCATTTCTGGGGCGGAAGCTGAGGAGTACCGGAGGCCAGTCAAACTCCCCCAGCCCAGCCTCCCAAGGGCCGGGGCAGCCAGCACCTCCCGGTCAGGGTCAGTGGACCCGGGGCTCTCAGGCAAGCTTGGGGGCAAAGGAGGGGTCACAGGCAGAAGCACCTGACCGAAGGCACCCAGTCCCCAGCCTCAGGCCCGGCCCCTCCCTCTCTAGCTCCCTCGGAACAGTTTCACTTTTGCTTCCCGGCAAAGCCTGCCTGCGAGCGAGGCGGGGCCCCGGGGGCAGACTCGGGAACCAGGCTGAAGGCGAGGGGCCGGGCTCAGACTGGTGGGGTGTATGTAAGTACCAGGTTAGGGGACACGTGGAGAGGGTGCTGGGGAGGGGTGGGAGGATGGAGTGGGCCATAGGCTCCTCCTACCCACCGCTCGGCCCCAGGTTGTGATGGCGGAGGCGTCCGCGGCCGTGGAGCTCCGTGGGTTGCCCCCCGACGTGCCGGATGAGCTGCTTACGCTCTACTTCGAGAACCGGCGGCGCTCTGGGGGAGGTCCTGTGTTGCGCTGGCAGAGACTGGGCTGTGGGGGCGTCCTTACCTTTCAAGAGTCCGCAGGTGAGGGGGTGGCCTAGAGGAAGGGGAGGCCTAGGAGCTCCAAGAGCCTGCCAGCTCTGACCTGCGCCCGCCCCTGCCCGCAGACGCCGCGAGGGTCTTGGCACACGGGGAGCACATGCTGCACCAGGCGCGACTCAGCCTGCGGCCGGCCCCGCCCCGGGCCCCCGGGCGTCTGCTGCTGCAAGGGCTGCCTCCCGGTGCCGCGGCCCCGCGCCTGGAGCAGCATGTGCAGGCTCTGCTGCGCGCAGCCGGACTCCCACAGCAGTCCTGCCTTGTCCTGGCCAGCACTTGGCCCGACTGTGCGCTGGTCCAGCTGTCGGCGCCCCTATCGGAGGCAGGTGAGAGATGTGAGAGGTGGGACTGCCTGGAGCCGGGTAGGGAGGTGCCCAGCTGACTCCTGCCCTACCCACAGAGGTTGGTGTCCTGGAGGAGCAGGCCCGGCTGCTGGGCCTGGACGGCGCTGCAGTGACCTTGGCCCGCATGCCCCAGACCCGAGCCGTGCGGGTGTGGGGGGACACGCGGCACCCAGACCCGCTGCTGCTGGAGCTGTACCTGGAGAACGAGCCCCGCAGTGGCGGGGGGCCGCTGGAGGACCTGCGCAGCCTACCTGGGGCCCTGGGCACTGTTGTCTCCTTCCGACAGTGGCAGGGTGAGTGGGGCTGCCTGGGCACGCACGCCCCACCGCTGCAGAGTACTGACCTCCTCTCCATCTCTTCCTCCAGTGGCTGAGCGCGTGCTGCAGCGGGACCACTGGCTGCAGGACTCCATGCTGCACCTCATCCCCCACTATGACGTGCTGGAACCCCAAGAGCTTGCTGAGGATGCCCGTAAAGGGGACTGCCTCGCCTGGCTGTCTCCTGAGGCATCTGAGCACACACTCCTGGAGGCTGGAGGGCCGGCGAGGGCTCTGGAGAGCAGAGGGACTGTGACAAAGACAGACTCTGTGGAGGCGCCAGGGCGATCAGAGGCCACTCTGAGGCTGGGACCCGTGGAGCTACTGGGGCAGGAGGGGCCCGTGAGCCAGGGACCCGTGGAACTGCTGGGGCAGGAGGGGCCTGTGAGCCAGGGGCCCGTGGAGCTGCTAGGGCAGGACCGGCCCGTGAGCCAGGGACCCATGGGGTCTCCAAGTCAGGAGGGGCCCGTGAGCCAGGGACCCGTGGGGTCTCCGGGTCAGGAGGGGCCCGTGAGCCAGGGATCTGTGGGGTCTCCAGAGCAGGAGGGGTCCATGAGCCAGGGACACATGGAGTCTCTGAGTCAGGAGGGGCCCGTGAGCCAGGGGCCCATGGAGCTGCTGGGGCAGGACCGGCGCATGAGCCAGGGACCCATGGGGTCTCCGAGTCAGGAGGGGCCCGTGAGCCAGGGACCCGTGGGGTCTCTAGGTCAGGAGGGGCCCATGAGCCAGGGATCTGTGGGGTCTCCAGAGCAGGAGGGGTCCGTGAGCCAGGGACCCGTGGGGTCTCCGGGTCAGGAGGGGCTCGTGAGCCAGGGACCCGTGGGGTCTCCGGGTCAGGAGGGGCCCATGAGCCTGGGACCTGTGGGGTCTCTGGGGCAGGGGAGACCTGTGGGGTCTCTGGGGCAGGGGAGACCTGTGGGGTCTCTGGGGCAGGGGGGACCTGTGGAGTCTCTGGGGCAGGGGGGACCTGTGGAGTCTCTGGGGCAGGGGGGTGCAGTGGAGATGGTGCTGTCAATGGAGCCAGGGGCGCTGCGCTTCCTGCAGCTCCATCACGAGGACCTTCTCGCAAGCCTGGGAGATGTCGCCCTTTTCCCCCTGGAAGGGATGGATGTGACTGGGTTTCGGGTACGTGACCCCTGGGACTCCGCATCATCACCCCTCCTCCCCCTGGGGGCTCTGGGCACTTTTCCTGTGCCCTGAGCCTGCAGACAGCCCTCACCCCCACCCTGCAGCTCTGTGGTGCCCCGGCCCCGTGCCAGGCAGCCGAGGAGCTTCTTCGGAGCCTGCTGGGCAGCATCAGCTGCCACATGCTGAGCCTGAGGCACCCGGGCAGTGCCAGCTTCCTGCTGGGCCCAGAGGGGCAGTGCCTCCTTCAGGGACTGGAAGCTCAGTTCCAGTGTGTCTTTGGGACAGAGCGGCTGGCCAGGGCCACCTTGGACACGGGCACTGAAGAGGTACAGGTGGAGTCCTGCCCGACCCTCCCCTTTCCCACCCTGGACCCGGCAGGGGTGTGAACCTGTGGGCCCTGACCTCTTCCTGCAGGTGGACCCCACGGAGGCCCTCCAGGCCCACACCCTGTTGCCCCAAGACAGTGCAGGCAGTGACCAGGGGAACGTGAGCCTGGGTGAGGCTCGCTGGGGACCCCCCATGGGTCCTGGGGCCCTTTCTGACCTCATTCTCTGCCCTGCTCCTCAATCTTCCTGTCCCCTGACCCTGCCCACCCCCACCCTGTAGCCCCTAAATCCTCCTCCATCTTTCACTCTTCCCTGACTCATTCTGTTCTTCATGCTACCCTGGCCGGGGCCCCCAGAGGAGGTCCGAGAGCTGCTGGCCACCCTGGAGGGCCTAGACGGGGAGGAGTGGCTGCCCCTGGAGCTGGAGGAGCAGCAGCCCGAGGAGGAGCCTCCCCGGGAGGAGGAGGAAGCAGCAAGTTCGGGGTGCTTGGTGGAAGAGCCTGCACCCAGGGCTGGGGAGGAGCCTGTGGCCCCCACTACCAGGGCTCCCGGGCGGCTGGAGGAGGAGGCTGCGCTGCAGCTGGCCCTCCACCGGTCCTTGGAGCTGCAAGGCGTCAGGGCTGAGCAGGAGGAGGCGGCCACGCTGCAGCATGCCCTGGCCTTGTCCCTGCTGGAGCAGCCTCTGTTGGAGGCAGAAGAGCCTCCGGGGAGTGGGGCAGGCGGGCCGGCCCAGCTGCTGGTGCACTTGGCCTTCGAGCAGGACGTGGAGGAGCTGGACCGGGCACTGGAGGCCGCCCTGGAGGCCCACCTCGGGGAGGAGACGGTGGACGCCCGGGGCCGAGTGCTGCCGGCAGAGGTTCATGCCCAGCTGGAAAAGTGCCACGGCGTGAGCATTGGCCTCCACGGGGACTGCGCCGTCCTCCGTGGCTTCGGGGCCCAGCCAGCCCGCGCAGCCCGCCACTTCGCAGCGCTGCTGGCCTGCCCCGGGGATCAGAGTGAGGCCTTTCTCCCGGCGGCCCCGAGCCCCTGCAGTGAGTGGACCCAGCACGGTGGCAGGTGGGTGGGGCAGCCATCAAGGGCCAGGGCCCTAGGCACGGCCTTCACCTCTCTCTCCTGGTGCCAGCACCACAGCCGAGGCTGCAGGGCCTCTCCAGCAGCGGGCTAGAGTGTCTGGCTGAGAGCTCCGAGGAGTTCCAGAAGGTGGTGCGGGCCTTCTACGACACCCTGGACGCTGCCCACAGCAGGATCTGCATTGTCCGCGTGAGCACCATCTGCGCCTGCCCAGCCTGTGGGCTGTCGGTCTCCCGGCATCCAGCTTGGGCTGGCCGGGAGCTGCCCGGTGTGGGGCTGGCCGGGAGCTGCCCGGTGTGGGGCTGGCCGGGAGCTGCCCGG